TGGGACAAGCATTTAATTGGGTGCATTCTCAAACCCAGTGTCTGAGACAGTAGCAGATACAGATAATCAATGCATAATAGTTAACATAGGTTATAGGAAGTAATGCAGGGAAATTAGTTTCGACTAAATATTAATAGGGTTACCTACCCTCATAACAAATTAATTACGCGATTCCAAATTTTGAAAAGCTTTACATTTAAATCCGATACTACAACTTCGCTATCTAGACATCCCGTCTGTTTAAATTCACCTTGCGCTGTTTATGTTCTACGCAATCTGACTGATCTCCAAGATCATCTAAAATCTCTGATTTGACTGGTAGAAACACAAACTTCCTCGCAAATATTCTAGATTATTCCATATTACTTTGATTGATAAAAAGGAAAGCATCTTCTAGGTTTAAACAAAACTATAACGCAGGCAGCTATGGCATGTAGTTATTTTAAGTATTTACCTCTCTTGCTTCCAGTTTGGCAGTCAGGGAGGAGTAGTGCTTCGTTGCCTCGTCTCGTTCGGTTTTCACTCGAGTGGTCTCACGTCGGGATTCCTCTAGAGACGTTTCCAGGGCATGTATTTTAGCCTCCAGTGTAATAATATTTGCCTAGAGATAATGGCAAGACGAATGTCAGCCCCCGGTTGAAGTAGCATTACTGATTTCCAAAAGTCAATCACCAGATAATATTTCAGTGCGTACGTTCCACCGGGATACGTCAAACTGACAACAGCTTTTTCTTCCTTTTCAGGCCAGGAAGACTTCTATGGTCACGTAAATAGGACATAGGGAATGGAACCGCCCACAATACAAGTGGTTTCGCGACAAAATCCCGAAACTTAGTTTAAGAATCAAGGTGAAGGTTAGGGTTAAGTTTAGAGTTAGCCTGAGGATTATGTTAAGAGTTAATGTTGAGGTTTGTGTCGACTGTAGAGTTTAAGTTTATGGTAGGGTGAGGTTTGGGATTAAGGCTACAGTTTAGACTTATGTTAGCATTAGTGTTAGGATGAATACACGGAATAACTGTCTTTCTCGAAACTTATCGATAGGCTAGATATTTTAGGTGGGCGGGTCGTTCCTCTTCCCGTCTCCTATTTGGGTGGCCATACAAGTCACCCTTACTTTTATGCGTTTACGTGCACGCATTGAAACGAAATAAGTAGGCGCTTCGTTTGACTTAATTTTAGGAAGGGGACATATATCCGATGTGTACCTCGCCGTATTCCACTTATGCAAATTATGCGTACTGAGCCCGAAACCAGGCTGTCACTGATTTGGGGTATAGCTAAGGTTAATATCAAGGTTACAGTTTAATTTTATTGTTGGTGTTCGGATTCGGGCATGGAATTAATCGCAAGACCAGCTGTTTTAGGTGAGCGAGGCTTTCCTATTCCCGTGTCCTGTTTCGGCAGCCATACACGTCATCCTTCTCTCAACTGAAATTCTGAAATTGTCAATCTACGAGTGATGGGATTGGGCGCGATTGCTGTTGCAACGTGACGCCCTTCGTGTGCATGGCACGCCATCACACACCTGTACAACAATAGTTATGGATTCGCACCGTGCCTTGAACCGGCCTGATTCGTGTTTTGTTGTAGCGCAGCGCACCTCTTCCTGCTGGCAATCAATTGAAAACAAACAAAAATTTGAAATAAAATGTTGGCTTAGTCCTCCCTGTCAATCGCCTATGCTCCGATCCTAGCCGCGAAAGACTTCTGGCTTGAACTTGAGCTGCCTAATTCGTACCGACTACCATCAAGTCACGTGTTCTTCACCTGCCGGTTTCGGTAGAGTATTCGAATCAACCAAGCAGAACAGACTTTTCAGGCAAGGTTAGCTGACGTCATTTTGGAAAGGATTACTTAAGCGGCTCCCTTAATGGTACAAGGGAAAAGGAACCCCCACCCAAATAATAAACGTGGCAGTGCGCGTCAGTCCAGAAAGGATAAGAATTCCCGTATACTAAGTATAACACAAGCCCTAACATAAACCAAAACCATAGTCCTAATCGTAACTGCAAACCTACCCTAAACCCACTACACCACAGTTCGCCAAAAGAAGGAGTGTTCGCCGAGAGAGTTTTTTTCCTTTGTCTGACGTTGTTGGTAGGGATTTCGTCTCCCTGTCTTCAGAGACTGGACACTCAGGCTCACAGAGCTCATTATATGCCGCCCTTTGCCCTGTGCGTAGCCCGCC